GGGGCCGGCCTCTGTCCCGGGGGGCTGGGGCCAGCTTCAGACAGAGGCTGCTTCGTGGCAGCCTTCTCGTCCCTCCGACGCTGCTGCCTCTTTCAAGCTGGCTCCTCCCTGTCCCACTGGGACCCCCGTGGACAAGGGCTGCTGCCATCACTGCGTGCCCCTCCTCGTGCCTCTGTAGGAGACAGCATGGGGGGCACCAGGGGATCTGTGGAAAAGGAGCTGGTGCCTGGGAGGAGCTGGCGTAAATCTGGCTCCCCATGAGCACTAGATCCATCTGCCTCCACCCCAGCGCTGCTGCCTCTGATAGGGCCACGTCTACACTGTAGCCTTCTTCTGGAAAAGCTTATGCAAATGAAGTGCAGAGTGGAATATCACCGCGCTTCATTGGCCTTATTAATTAGGGGCCATTTTTGCACAAGAGGCTTTTGCACAAAAAGGAGCTGTGTAGGCGGCTCCTTTTTGCACAAAACCCCCTCTCTTGTGCAAGAGCCGTTCTTCCTGAAAAAATGAGCTGCTAATTACTTGTGCAAATGAAGTGCGGTGATATTCCACTCCACGCTTCACTTGCATACGCTTTTCCAGAAGAAGGCTACAGTGTAGACGTGGCCCTATCAGAGGCAGCAGCGCTGGGGTGGAGGCAGATGGATCTAGTGCTCATGGGGAGCCAGATTTACGCCAGCTCCTCCCAGGCACCAGCTCCCACTGCCCCGTCCCTTGCTGCTTCTGATACAGATGATGCATGTAGTCGATAAGATTAACCGATAAGCCCATGCTTATTGGTTAATTGTGTAGCCATCTACACTATGGAATCAGTAACCAAGCTCCTCTTCCCTGTCCCTCCCAGCCCCTCCCGCCTACTGCAAACACCTGTTTCACTGCATTCCAAATGCTCTAGGAGGGAGGGGAGGAGCGGAGATGGGGTTTGCTCTGGATAGGAAGCAGGGAAGAGGCATGGTGGGGGAAGGGGTAAAGTAGAGGCAGGGCCTGGGATCCAGCCCCCACCCCCTCCCAGCTAGAAAGGGGTTCTGACCATTGGTTACTTTGTGCCAAGACTCCTCACAGCTTCCCTAGCCTCTGCAACAGCCCACAGGCTGGTGAGACCTCACTGGAAAGGGACCCCAAGGGGCAGCTCCCCCTGTTGAGTCAGCATCTCGCTCATCCTCCAGCACCCTGCCCGTGAAAGAGGCACCCAGCAGTTCTCAGTGCAGAGGGCTGAATGAAAAGCAAAAATCCCAGGACTCGTGAGCAGCACCGACCTGCCCAGCGGGGCACAGTTCCGTGGCTCTCGCATCTGAACGCCTCTGCTAGGTCACTAACGTCCAATTCTCATTCCCTAGGGAGCGGCCTTCTCACGCTGGCAGGCATGGGCATCGGGACAGGTAAGGGGCTACCCCCGGGGCGGTGACTGATTGACACTTGACCTCTGCACTTATCAAAATCACGCTTAGCCAGGGACTCTCCCGGCTCAGTAGCTGCCCCTGCCAAGACCCTAGCTGGTGCGAATGAACCTCAGGCTCAGGCATGTGGGGATCAAGGACTTGGTCCCTATCAGCTTGATTTCTTCCCTAGCCCACGAGGCAGCAGGGCGGCTGTGGGAGCCGGGGAGGGGGCTGGAGACAAGCCTTCGAAACCCTGCCAGGCCACAGTTCGTTTTGCTTGTGCGAAAAACGAGAGGCTGGATCCACATGGGCCTTCCTTGTACAGTCCATGCATTTGGTGAGCGCTGTCGCCCCTGCCGCTGTCCTGGGGGTGCCCTTCCAAGGTGCCACTGGCCCCCAGATGCAGCAGAGTCCTGTAGCATCAATGGAGCTAGGAAGGCAAGATGTTGCTCCTGACGTCCCCCAATGTGCCGTGCCAGGCTTGCTTTGCGAACTGGCGGTTTCCTTGAGGGAGTGGGTCTCAAATGGTCCTGTCACCCTTCCTGGCTACTGGAAGCACGATACAGGGACCATCCAGGAAAGGAGCTGGGCAGGGGTTAGGGTTAGGGTCCATGGCTGGCTGGCTCTGTAAGGATAAGGCCTTTTTCTGTAGCCGTAGTGGAAGTCCAGCAGCCATACTGGAAGGCCAGTAGCCATGTTGGAAAGGTGGGAAGTAGCCATACTGGAAGGCCGGTAGCCATGTTGGAAAGGTGGGAAGTAGCCATACTGGAAGGCCGGTAGCCATGTTGGAAGGCCTAAAGCCTTCATCTGCAGCCAGACTGAAGGAGCAGCAGCCATTAGCCGAAAAGCTGGGAGTTGCATATTCTCCTTGCATCTAAATTGCAATCAAATAGTGCCATCCCAGGCTATAAGAAGATACAGTCCTAATCAGGGGCAGATGACCATTTTGCGGGGCCCAGGGCAGCATAATTTCGTGGGGCCTCCCTTTGCCACGGCGCATGCGCGGGGCTTTTTGAAGCGTGGGGCTCGGGGCAGCCGCCCCGCTCGCCCTGCCCTATATCCGCCCCTGGTCCTAATGATGTCAGTATCACCACATAAAGAAACAGATCTCAAGGCTGGCAAGAAGCAACTTACCAATGGTTGGGGTGGTGAAATCCTCCGTCCTTTATTCTATCTTTATGGTTCCCACTTTCCCCTATTGTTTGTCTGTATCAGGGGCTGGGAACCTTTTTTGAGTTGGGGGCCACTGACCCACAGAAAAATCAGTCGGGGGCCACATACAGGTGAGAAGAAAAAAAAAGACCCTTCACAGACATGGCCCAACTAAGAAAGAGACAGACCCTCCCCACATACCCCTCACACACCAGAGCCTAGGGGGGGCCCAGCCTGTAGATTTTGTGTGTTCCAGCCCCACAGGGAGGCTGGAGTGCCAGCTTGGGCTCCCCAATGCTGGGGGGTGGAGGAGTGGGGAAGGCTTGACCTCAGAAGCCAGATCCAGGCCCCAGGCCTGAGGCTCCCCAGCCCTGGTCTATGTGCTCTCTGTCTGGTTTTTAATTGTTTCTGTCTGCTGTAGAATTATTTTGCTAGGTGTAAAGCAATGAAGGTGGCGGGGTGTGATTGGTTAGGTAAGTGTGCTACAGTCTGTTAGGACTGGTTCGTCAAATCTGAGTAAAGTAATTGGTGCAGGAGTCAAGGTTTGTTCGCTAAATCGGGACCCAAAAGGAAGCTTTTTGGGTACCGACTCCAGGACACAGCTCCTAGATCAGAGCTGCCAGACACCAACTCGGTGCCAATGACACCGAGCAGACCCCGGAGTCCTGATCCTGGCTGGGCCCTGTGACGGACTGGTCACCGTCAGGTCATGTGAAGTGTGAGTGCCTGTGTGAGTCTGTATGTGCATTTCTTATCACCTTACCAGCCGTGCTGCCGAAGCAGTTGTGGTAGGCGCCTGGACTGTGTGTAACACGGCTGTGTGGTGCATGCAGGAGTCGCCGTCGTCGGAGCCCCCGTTGCACTCTGGGCAGTAGGCTTTACTGGGGCAGGCATCGCAGCTGGGTCGATTGCGGCCAAGATGATGTCAGCGGCTGCCATAGCCAATGGCGGGGGGGTGGCCGCGGGAAGCCTTGTGGCCGTGCTGCAATCCGTGGGTAAGTACCAGGACTCTGCTCCCTTAGAACCAACCCTGCCTGGTGTTTTGATGGGGTTCTGATTTCTCTTGCACTTGGGGAGGAGTCAGTCTCTCCCCTGCCTGGCCCGACCTGCTGCTCACAGCCCCTGCTAGGGAGCTGCGACGCCCTTAGATGCAGCCTGCTCTAGCGTCTCTGTTCACTAGCCCTTTGGCGAGGGGCTTATGCTGGACCACGGCTCGTTTGCCTCGTCGCAGAGGAAGAGATGTTCACCCGCCACGGTCTGTTCTCCCTGGGGATGTGCCCCTTGGGGGGAGAGTTAGAGCCCAGCGTGTTTGGATCGTACCTCCTTCCTCCCCCGTTCCAGGCTGCACCATCAAGGCAGGGCAGCCAAGTACAGAACTGGACTCTGGCCCCTGATGTAAGGGAACCTCTTACAGCCGACCAGAAAGCAAGAGAGTCGCGACTTCTCCAGGGCAGGGGCACAGGAAGGAGATCACTGGCCTGATAGCAGGGATGTCAAATCCTGTTTTACCAGCTAACCAGTTAGGCAGTGTAATCAGTTCACTGATTACACAGGATCCCAGAAGGTGGGGGGGGGAGGGACGGGGAGCCGCTCAAGCCCGCTGGAGCAACTCCCAACCTGCGGGGCTGCCAGCTCCTGGCCCCTCATAGGGAGCTGCCAGCCCTGCAGGGAGCTGCTGGCTCTGCCAGCCCCACACAGAGCTCCCGCTCTCAGCCTGCACTGGGCTGCTGCCTCCCAGCCCTGCCTGGGGCTGCTGGAGGGGCTGGAGCTGCCCTCTGCCCACGACAGGCTGTTCCCAGGCCCTGGTTAACCATTACCCGGTAAGCATCACCCAGTGACCCGTTCACATCCCTACCGCCTAGCGTGTTGCAATACTGAGCATCCCATTCTTTGTTTCCCCTCAGGTGTCACAGGTCTCCCTGCTGCTGCCCAAGCTGTGTTGGTAGGTGCTGGGGCAGTAGTCGGAGCCTTAATTTGAAGCGACAGCTGCCCCTGTGCACTCTGGAAGTCACACCAACTTCTGCGGCTGCCCCTTCCAGCTAATCCTGCAAGTAGCAAGCTAGAGAAACGGCTTCATAGTGGAACGTGCCAAACCAGTGTGGCCTATAGAAATGGCTTTTGCCCATCTGTCGCTTGTTCTGCCTTCTCAACCACCAGGGTCGAGTGCTGTGGGGTTTAATGGCTGAATTCCTGCTCTTGGCTTAAATGTGACAAATCAATAAACTCCTGCAAATGCAAAAGCGCTAAGTTATTACATCTGGAAACTGTTGATTGTGTGCTGGTAAAGACTGTGTACCATGTGTGCGTACACCTTCACCACCACCCCCCAGCCAGGAGCGTGGAGGGGCTGTTCATGGCAAAAAAAGAGCAGGATAATTAGAGTTGTCAAATGGTTTAACAAAAAATACTGACACACTCCCCTTAAAAAAAAAACACACTGGGCAAAAATTCTGTTGAGGAAAAGAGGGGGAAGCCAAAGTTGTTAAGCAAAAAAAAAAAAAAAAGAGGGCACTGCGCCTTTAAATGGTCCCACAGACTCCCCCACCCCCGCCAGGCTTCCATCCGAGGGAAACAGGAAATACTGGACATTTCACATGTCCCGTATTTTCTGGTTTTTTTAGTGGACGGAGGACCTGAATAATGGACAGTCCAGGCGAAAACCAGACACCTGGCAACCCTATCTCTAAGCCTCTGTCAGCAGCAGGAGTGGCCTGAGGCCGGCTGCGGCAGCTGGCGCCCTAGGCAGAAGGTGAGATCGGCGCCCCCACCTGCATGGCCATCAATGGCTGTGACATAATCAAGGGGTGCCCCAGCGCCCTGTGACGTTATCATCGGGCTCCCAGGCCGGTGGCGCCCTCGGCAACTGCCTAGTTTGCCTAGGTTCACGGGCCACCCCTGGTCAGCAGTAGATCCAATCCAGCTTCCTCCTCTGAGCCTAGTTTTAAAATAAGCCTGGGGCGTAATCCTGTGGCCACTCAATGTGGCTAGTGAGTCCTAGCTCAGGGGTGGGTGACCAGGTAGCGCGATGCCACCTCTCCTGACTGTCTTCATTGCTTCTTGGTGACTCAGCTCGTAGGTTTGCAATACAGCGATAGGTAGAGCCTTGCAAATCTGCAGCAATCCGCTTTATATCCACGGGTCTCTGCCCCTGCAGGAGTGGGTGCAGATAGCTCCATTTTGCAGATGCGGATAGAAATTTTGCATCGTGCAAGGCTGGAGTGATAGGGGAAGCTCTAAGGCCCAGGGGGAGGGGTGGTTGCCACGGGCTGTCCAATCCCCTCATTACTGTGACAAGCTGAAACCGTTTGCTGTCTAGCCCAGGCATTAGTTACATGGGCATTAAACTGAAACAGAAACAGAGTTTGGACCATGTCACTAAAAATCCCCCTCCCCCAATTACCTTTTCCCCTCTTGTGGTGCCATTTCATCGTTCTACTTGTACGCTGAATCTTCTAGCCTGGGGTGGGCAGATACGGCCCGTAAGCTGGATCCAGCCCGCCAAGCCACCGGATCTGACCTGTGGCCAGCAGGATCCTCAGTCAGGCTCCCTGCTTGCCGCACCCCAACAGGCTGCTCAGAGCTGCTGTCTGCAGGGGCCATGTGCTTCTGAGAGCTCAGGGAGCAGGGGAGGGGGAAGGACTGAAGAGAGGAGAGGTTTCATGCACTGTCCCTGCCCCCAGCACAGTCTTACAGCTCTCGTTGGCTGGAAACACGCACCCATACCCCTTCCCAGATCTCATACCCCTCCTACCGCATCCCAAAACTCCCTTCTGTAGTCAACCTCCATCCCAGTTCTTGCACCTCCTCCATTACTATCATGGAAGAGTGTGGCCCCCCGAGCAATTACCAATTTCTTGGTGTGATCCCCGCCCATCAAAAATAATTGCCCACCCCTGTTCTCAGCTAATGTAACAAGCAAAACAACAACAACCTACCAAGCTGAATTTTAAACCATGAGCAGCATAGAAGAGGGTGGAACCCAGAGGGTCAGGTTGTTTTCCAAGTAGGAATAAGAGATCCTCCGGAAAAGGCTTTATTTTCTGGAGAATCACGTCTAGACTGGCGCTTTTCTCCGGCTTATCTCCAAGCTGGAAAAAAGCGGCAGCCATGTTAATGCAAATACCGCGGGGGATATTTAAATCCCCTGCGGATTTGCCTATTCCAAAGCGCTACATTAGCATCCCTTTTCCGGAAGGGATGCCACTGTAGACACAGCCTAGGAGATTTACCTGATGTTGCTCGAGTCCTTAACTCAATTAACATTTGATTTTCTTCATTTAAATCATTGCTCTGGGGTGAGGCTGGGGAGGAGGGTTCAGGATGCAGGCTGCCCTGGGGAGAAAAGACAACCCCGTCTCTCCCTCACCGCAGCAGCTTGGGGCCAGGTGAGACGCACCTCTGCATGGCTGCTGCAGCTCCAGCAGGCACAGCTGGGGGAGGGGGTGTATATCCCCCAGCTGGAGCAGGTCCAGGTTCATCTGCCCCCTGCACTCCCCAGCCAGAGTGAGGAATGAAACACACTGGGCACTTTCCCCTCGCTCCCTGACAAAGTGGAGTTTTTGTACAAATCAGGAGGGGAGGGGAGGGAATTTCAGCCCCCCCTTCCTAAAGAACATCTGGTGGGGTGGAAGCATCAGGGCTTGGACTTGAGGGGGGCAGTGCACCCGGAGCCAACCCCTTTCACCTGTCTGGTGATTCTTTTTTCTGTATGGTTTTATTCATCTCTGTACCAATGGGGAGAGGGGGAGGAGCGTCAGCCCTCACTGCCCTCCCTAAAGATGCGGGGGAGGAGGGAGGCTGGGGCAGTTCTGGACAGGGGGAAAGAGGGTGCCCCCAGCCAGCCCCATTCACCTGCCTGATTCTGTCTCTTTTCTGGATGGCTATATGAGACGCAATCCCATCCCGGCTCCAAACCCTTAACTTGCTTTAAAGTTATGGTAAGAGGAAGCTGCCAACCCAAGGTGGTGATCCTAAACTCCTACCATTTAGGAGGCAGACTGGCTCAAACATCTGGAGAGATCATGGCTCTTGGGCATGGAGGGGGCAGGTGGGTCTCTGCAGGGCTAGGATGGGGACAGGGTGGGATTTACTGGCTGGGCATCAGGAATTTCCCTTCACCTCCCCAAGGATGCCCCCCATGGGAGTGTATACCCCCCCTGAATTTCCCCAACACCCCCCAGTTTTGTGAACTATGGTGCATTACACCCCACTTCACCCTCAGGGTCCCACCCCTCATCGGCCCTGACACCTCCCCTTGTAAATTCGAATCCCCCCCCCCATTTCAATTCCTGGGGAAGCTACTGCTGGGCATAGAGGGACTGTACCATCTAGGACTGGATCAGGAGGGGAGGCACTTCATTCCAGTGGCTGTATCGCTGGGTGCCCCGAGACTGAGCATGCAAACCCTTCGTGTCCCTGCGCGCAGCGGCAAGGCGGAGAAAGGGGAGCGGGGCGTGGGGTCTTCCCATCCCTGCTCTGGGCGGGGGAGGCTTGGTCCTCGCTGCTCACCCACCTGCGCAGTCGCAGCTGCCTGGTACCCAGGGATCCTGATATAGCTCCACTGCGCAGCAGGCGAGTCATTCTGCTCCCTCTGTGCCGGAGGTAAGTCGCTGCGCTCTGGGTAAGGACCGCTTCGTCATTCGGCCCGCAGCTGGGAATTGCGTGCGCGGGGATGGGTCAAGGGCGAGTGAGGGGCTGCCAAGAATCACACAAAGTTTTGCTCATTTGTTCAGTGTTAGGAGGGATGGATGAGTCAGGGGGTCTTGGCAGAAATCAGCCAATTATGTTACGTGTCCTTTATAAACAGCCCCGGAGAGATGAACAGCCAGGGGAGGGGATGATGCCTTTAAATGAAATCCCCTGTGAAATGCTCAAAGAGGCTACATCTACACTGCCCATTGTTGCGCAAGAAGATATGCAAATCGCCACGCCTCATTTGCATACCTAATGAGCCACCATTTTTGCGGACATGGGCTTTTGCGCAAGAAGGAGCAGTGCCGGTTTTGCTGGCACTGAGTAAGCAAATGAGGTGCGGATTAGCATATTGCTGCATATCATTTACATAAGTTATGCACGCCATTTTTGTGGGAGGGGGAAATAGCTTGAATGGGGTTTTTTTTGTGCAAAACTCCTGTTTTCCGCAAGATCCTTATGCCTTTTGGATGGGTTTTTTTGTGCAAAACTCCTGTTTTCCGCAAGATCCTTATGCCTCCCCCTCATTTGCATAACGTATGCCTCCTCTGCAGGGGAGGCATAAGGCTCTTGCAGAAAACCGGGGTTTTGTGAAAAAAAAAACCCGTCCACATGACTTTTTTTCTCCAAAAACGGCGTGCATAAATTACGCGAATGATCTGCAACGATATACTATTACTTAGGGGGACTTGGGAATGAACATTTGTTTCTGGGCGAATGAAGCTGGAGAATAGAAAGCTACAAAATCAGGTGAGTTTCCAACTCATCACTGCTGGGTTGTTTGTGTGCAGAGTTGCAAGGGGGGCCTTCTGTTGGGGCCAATCAGCGGAGAGGAGCCCTGGGCACATGTGCCCGTTACATCTTGTGGAGCAATGGCAGCGAAGGATGCAAATCCGGACCAGGGGAAGGACACTTCTGGTTCCCTTGCTGTCGGCCCCCCACGGCCCTCCCCCCTCCAACTGGGTTTCCTGGCTCCCCCCACAGCCCGGCTGAGCCACCCTCCCCCTGGCAACCCAGCTGGGTTATGAGTCACCCTCCCCACTCCCTGCATAGCACTGAACTCCCGAACCCTCCGCCTCCACAGTGCCAGGACTCTGATCCTGGCTGTTGCCAGATCACAGCGTTCCGGTTTCTAGAGATGCAAACTTTGGCTCTTACTAGACCAACGCCTTTTGTGGTGAGAGACGAGCTTCCGAGCTACACCGAGCTCTTGGTCAGGTCGGGGAGAGGTGCCCCGAGCATCACAGCTCAGTGCAAGGTGGAGCAGATAGTCTTCAACTCCATATTCTACATTAAGGGACCAGTCCAGGCCATGGGGTTTGTTTTACACCCCTGCCACTGTGGCAGAAAGGGGGTGAGGGAGCTAGGGATTCTTGTCCTAACCCGGAAATCGAGTGTCTTTAGTCAGCCCAGGGTTTTTAGTGGTTAGCAAAGTTATGAACTTAAGCTACCAGGGGGAGGGAAGGGGGGTCTGTTGAGGGCGATGTGCCAGCTTTTGGGGCCAGGACTGGGAGATGCCAGCAGAGTGAGCCATTGGTGAGAAACGGTTGTCGTGTCCTCCCGGGGGATTGCACGGTTTGTCTGTTACCATTTTTCCTGGGGGAGTCCAGCTGAGAGCGAGTGTCTGGCTTCCCCCACCCAGGGCCTGGTAGGGCATCTCCCCTTGCTGGCGTATTATCTAGTTCTTAGCAGCCTCATCCCAGTGTACCCTGCAGCTGCCCTAGAAGGAGAGGAATTCGCACATTCTCCACGGGCAAAGGAAGGAGAAGGGGGTCACCGGTGCTGAGTTGGTGCCAGTCCAGGCAGGGGAAAGGAAAAGCAGAGAGGGGCTAGGAAGAGGTTATTACCCTAGAACAAGGGTGGCCACTGACCCACAGAAAAATCCGTCGGGGCTGCACATAAGTGAGAAGCAAAAAAAAAACCCTAAAACCAACCAAACCCTCACTGATGTGGCCCCAACTGAGAAGGAGAAAGACACTCGCACACCAGGGGGCCCAGGCTAGTAGATTTTGTGTGCTCCAGCCCCATCAGGGACCAGTGGGAGGAACTGGAGTGCCAGCACTGGCTCCCCAATGCTGGGAGGGGAGTCCTGAGCCTCAGGGGCTGGAGCCAGGGGGCGCAGCTGGCCCCGGGCCTTAGGTTCCCCATCCCCACCCTAGAATCTTTGGATGCTTATGCTGCTCCCACATGTGCACTGGGCATGACTCCTTGCAGCTAGTTCACTTGTCGGTGAGAAGGTCCCACACACTCCCTGCTGGGGCCAGCTATGCAGGAAGAGGATGGGGGCAGGTGGGTTACCCCCGTTATTAGCTCAGGCTCTGCAAAGGAAGGGGCCTGATAGATGCTTTCATGTATTGTATGTCCCCAGGGCTGTATGTCCCCAGGGCTGTCCCGGGCCTTTGCTCGGCGGGAGCTGCCCTATGCGGATTACGGATGCAGACATAACCACAGGCTCCTGGCACTGGCCCCACGGCACAGGGCACGGAGGCATCTCCGAAGGGGTCTAAGTGCATTTCTGGTTTTTTGCTCAGGGCTGACGGAGCGGAGCCGCAATCGCTGAGATCAGGGCACGTGGGTCAGAGTCTCAAGCATGGTTGGTAAGGTACTACGTCTGGCACCGGCGCCGCCAAGTCATCCGTGCATTGGGCAGGCAGCCAGTCACTCAGCAAGCCCACAACGGGAGTGCTTGCCGTGTCCTCTCCCACCTCTGGCTCCGGCCCTTTAAGGGACAAGATCCTGGACGGAGAGGGACCGTGGGTCTGATCCAGCTTGGCAATGCCCCTGTACCTGAGCAAGCGCAGGACACTTGCTCTGCTAATGCAGTCCAGTCCGTGGTCTGTCCCTGCGCAGGCAGCCAGTCACTCAGCAAGCCCACAACGGGAGTGCTTGCCGTGTCCTCTCCCACCTCTGGCTCCGGCCCTTTAAGGGACAAGATCCTGGACGGAGAGGGACCGTGGGTCTGATCCAGCTTGGCAATGCCCCTGTACCTGAGCAAGCGCAGGACACTTGCTCTGCTAATGCAGTCCAGTCCGTGGTCTGTCCCTGCGGCGCGGCAGGGGGGCAGCACACTGGCCAAAGGCGGAGTAAAACTGGAGTGGAGCCAGATTCTGGCGCGGTACCGCAGAGTCAACCAGCCTCCTGCTTCATGGAACCTCCTTCCAAATATCCCTTCTGGAGCCTCTGAAACTTCCTTTCCCTGCTGCTCCGACGAGACGCCATCCTCCCAGCCTCGCCGGAGGCAGCACAGGGCTTTTCTGGTGACAGAATGGGGCACCCAGTACATGGCTCATGACTAAGGGGTGTTTGCCCCTCGCTGTGCTCCAAGTGAGTGGCCAAGTGGAGTCCAGCGGGGTTAGGGGCAGAGAACTTTCCAACAGAATTCAGGGCGCGCCCACAGGCCTCTTCCCCTTTCTGTCCTTCTCTGTGTGAAAGCGGCCGATGGCTCACTACTCTCCCCCTCTCCTTTCCTAGGGTATATCCCCATTGCTATTGGAGCAGTCGCTGGATTAGGTAAGTGCCCAGCTCAGGGCGGTGGCTCGACTGCCAAACGCTTGAGCTTGTAACAGATTTATTTCGCATTGGGTGCGCACGGTTCATCCGCTCCCCCAAAGCACAGGGCCCTCGCCTCTCATCAGAGCCAGGCGCCGTGGCCCCAATGACCTGGGCCACGCAGATGGCCACAGCGCTTGGCTGGCTGATAGAATCCTAGGACACTAGAACTGGAAGAGACCTCGAGAGTCGTCCAGTCCAGTCCCCTGCCCTCACGGCAGGACCAGGCACCGTCTAGATCAGGGCTACTCAACTGTGGAAGCTTGGGGGGGGCCACAATGATATTCACAGCACATGCAAATCGCTTCTTTCACACTGACGGGCATGAATACAAAGATTAAGGCAAGACTACACAACACGCAGGCCCCATTTAAGTCAATTCTGCTGATATCAATAAAATGCAACATTTACCCAATTTCCACCCATATAACAGCCCTTTTAATGAGCAACGACAGTCCAGGAATGTGACTACTAAACCGCATCTCAACAGAAGACCATTCTATTGACTCCTTTTTTGTTTTGGCTCCCACCCACGGGCTGCAAACAAACAGGCCGGGTCGCATGTTGAGTAGCCCTGATCTAGACCATCCCTGCTAGATGTCTATCCAACCTGCTCTTCAATATCTCCAGTGATGGAGACTTCACAACCTCCCTAGGCAATTTATTCCAGTGTTTCACCACCCTGACAATGAGGAAGTTTCTCCTAATGTCCAACCTAAACCTCCCTTGCTGCAGTTTAAGCTCATTGATGTCTTCCCTGAGGCAAGCAAAGGTACCTGCGCCCCCAGGAGATCAGGGAGAGGGGCTGGCGACAAGCCCTTTGGACTTTTGCTTGCCGACCTTTTGCTTGAAAATGTGCAAGCCCATCCTGAATGTTGCCCCTGCAAAAATGGAGCTATTGGGAGTGGCTCGGTGCAGGAGCAACTCATACAGGGAGGGAGTCGGTCTCGGGGTGGCTCTGGGCTCCCGTTGGGTTATTAACATTGCGGCACGTTTTGTCCTGCAGGAGTCGCCACCGTTGCTGTCCCTGCGGTACTCGGGGTAGCCGGCTTTTCTAGCGCCGGCATCGCCGCCGGGTCAGTTGGGGCCAAGATGATGTCAGCAGCTGCCGTCGCCAACGGAGGCGGGGTCGCCGCTGGAAGCACCGTGGCGGTGCTGCAGTCCATTGGTGAGTCCACGGGAGCAGCTGCCCTTCGCTCATGGGCCTCTGTGTGCGATGTTCTGGCGTGCCAACACTGACAGACAATCCAAGCATTTCCGCCTTAGCTCTCGCTTCTCTTGCTCCTCCACGGTCTTGGCCGATGAGGCCCGTATGTGCCGTGTTACCTAGTTCAGGGGCGTAGCGAGGGGACTGCGGGGGGGGAGGGGGCAGTTGCCCCCAGGAGCCACGCTAGGGAGGGCGCCAAACCAATTTATTCCCCCTCTGTTCCCTCATCATCCCTCAGCTTGCCTGCTCCTCCTCCGCCCACCGCTGCTGGCTGCAGCCTCCTCCGGGCCCCCAGCCCCACCCTCCTCTATCTCTGCTGGCGGGTTAGTGGGTGCGGGGGCCGGCCCCAAACTGGAGGAGGTGGGGGAAGATGTGGTACAAGCTCCTTCCCGCCTCCTCCCAGGGTCGGGTTCAGCCATGTGCCAGGTTCAGGGCCCTGCCATGTGGTGGGGGGGAGGCACAAATTTTGCTTTTGGTTCCCAGATGCATATCGCCCTCGCTATGCCTCAGACCTAGTTCTCCCAATTATACCATCATCGGGGCCTCGCTGCTGGTGACCCTGGGCTCTCTGCCTCATTCGGCACTTGCCTAAGGTTCCCTTCATGATCCTGTTACACAGGGGTGAAAGTTACTTCAGTTTCTTACAGGTAAGATCCTGTCACAACCTATCCGCTTCAGGGAGGTCCAAACACTGGGGGAAGGCTGGCCACACCACAGAAGCTGTAAGAAATTGAAGAGTGGGGTGGAGTGCAGGGGACTCAGGGCAGAGGGTTCATGTGTGGGGGTTGCAGGAGTCAAGATTGGGGTATATGAGGGGCTCAGCGCAGGGGGTATGAGGAGAGGGCTCAGGGAAGGGGGTTGGAGCATGGGGGGTGCAGGAGTATGGGCTGGGGACAGGGATGAAGGAGTCACAGTTGGGTGTATGAGGAGGGGCTTGGGGCACAGGGTTGGGATGCGGGGGTGCAGGAGTCCAGGTTGGGCTGCATGAGGGGCTGAGAGCAGAGGGGCATGAGGAGGGGTTCAGGGCAGGGGGCTGGCGGGGGAGGGGGCGGGG